TAAATACAGCGTGGGGTCATTAAAATGGAACAGGGAAATTGAAACCGTAGAAATCATTTTGAAGCTTGTTATAAACAAAAGGCAGGGATTTTATAGTCAAAAGGTATTTGGAAAATATTCCATAAATAAAAAAAAAATAGTTTCTATGGACACAAGTCTTTTAAGAGTTAAGGAAAAAAATCTTCTACATAAAAATACGGTTTATTGAACTTCTACAGACTGAAGGCCTAATTAAAGTCTTTTATGTACAGAAGACCTGTTAAGGAAAGTTAAGTCTTCTAAAGACCAAATACCTTATAAAGGTCTCTATAAAACCGAATACCAAAGAGCTTCTATGGACAGTATACATTTTTTAAATGTCGAAAAACTCTTGAAGGTCTTTCGTAGAGAATATCTTCTTTTTAAGGTCTTCTATAGAAATAATCAGGGCTGTCACAGAAACCATGTCGGTTTTGCTTATTGTCGTTTTTGTAAACCAATGTTGGTTTAATTTGGTGTCATGACACCAAGTTGGTTTTGTCAATTTCGAATGTAAATAAAACCAATGTTCGAAATATCAATAAATTGAAATATCAGTAAAAGTAAAGTAAATAAAAAAATAATAAGTCGCTATAAATAAAGTAAGATGGCATCAGCAGTGTTAGTTTATAGTCCTTTAAAAATTCTTTAAAAAATCCTTAAAAAATCACGTTTATGGTCCTTTAAATATCCTTTAAAAATTCTTTAAAAAAATCCACATTTATAGTCTTTTAAAAATTCTTTAAAAAATCCTTAAAAAATACGTTTATGGTCCTTTAAATATCCTTTAAAAATTCTTTAAAAAAAATCCACGTTTATAGTCTTTTAAAAATTCTTTAAAAAAATCTACGTTTATAGTCCTTTAAAAATTATTTAAAAAATCCACATTTAGAGTTTTTTTTAAATATCTATTAAAAATTCTTTAAAAAATTCACGTTTTTGGTCTTTTAAATATTCTTTAAAAATTCTTTAAAATATCCACGTCTATAGTCCTTTAAAAATTGTTTAAATCCAAAGCAGATGAAAAGTGACAGCTCTAAGCAACTTGCTTTATTTCCAATAACAAAACCAATAACATTGGCTTCTATGACAACCAAAACCGATAAAATTCGAATTCGAAAATAAAACCGATAACATTGATTTTCATGACATCAAATCATTTTTTCTTGTCGTTTTTAAAAGCAATAGTGACAAAATTGGTTTCTATGACAGCCCTGAATAACTTACGAGAACATGTTGTAATCACGCTAGAGTCAAAACGAATAAAGATAGGAAGCTAAAATTTTGCACTGATCTGTCTTTTGTCTGTACGCAGGTCAAGTTCGAAGATGGTAAACGATATCGTATACCCCCTATATAACTGTACCTCCCGATATTCCTCATTTTTTAATGGAATAGTCTGAAATTCTACACAAGGAGTTCCCTCTGAGTACTTTACCCCCTGAAAGATAATTGTCTATATACGCCCACAATATCGTATAGCTTCCATACAATGGTGCCCCCGATATTCGTTATTATGATGACTTTAGTCACATTTTTAAATGGAATTGTCTGAAATTCTACACAAGGAGTTCCCTCTGAGTACTTTACCCCCTGGAAAAGAATTGTCTATATAGGTCTACGTTTACGTGTGTGTGCTAACATAACGCTACCGCGAGATATTCGGTACTTCCATTTTGATTGCAGATATTTAAAGAGGAAAAATAGCTTATTTTAAAATCCGCATAACTCCTTAAATATTGACATTTCGGTGTTTTTAGCATCATTTTGATTGCAGATATTTAAAGAGGAAAAATAGCTTATTTTAAAATGCTCATAACTCCTTAAATATTGACACGTCGGGGTGTTTAGCATCAAATTGATTGCAGATATTTAAATAGGACGAATAGATTATTTTAAAATGCTCATAACTCCTTAAATATTGACATTTCGCGGTTTTTAGCATCATTTTGATTGCAGATATTTAAAGAGGAAAAATAGTTTATTTTAAAATGCTCATAACTCCTCAAAATGCTCATAACTGCTCATAACTTTGCTACATTATTCACCGGAATTGCATCAAATTTCGAATTTGAAGTTCGTAATGGGTACTACAACCTACGGCGGAAAATTATCTATGCAGGTCCACGTTTTGGATAGCTCCATACAACGGTACCTCCCTTTCTTCGGTATTTTGATGATATTAGCGGCTTTATTCACAGGAATTGTTTCAAATTTGGTATTTGAAGTTCGGAATTGTTACTACAGCCCATGACAAACAATTACTTATGCAGCATCACGTATTCGTAAAGTCCCCATATAATGGTTTTTATTTGAGCGGTATTTTTGGCAGATTTTTTTTGATATTTTTAAAGTTTCTTCCGAATGGTGGAGGGCATAAAAAGTTCGGCCCGGCCCAACTTGGCTGCTTTTTACTTGTTAAAGTCTTCTGTAGAGAGAATTGGCTGTACCCTTTTTTGGATTTTCTTTAGAAAAATATATTTTAAAGGTCATCCATTGAAAATACACCTTTGGAAAGAAAGAGGAATTTTTGGAGATCTTTTAAGAAATTAAGGGAAAATCTTTTGAAGTTATTTTATAGAAAAAAAACCTTTCAAAGGTCTTTTATAGAGAAAATATCACTAAATAATCTTCTATAGCCAAGCGATGATTTTAAAGTCTTTTGTGGAGAAAAGATCTTTTAACGGTTTTCTAAAAATAAAATAGCTTGTGACGGACTTTAATAGAGAAAAAATGTCTAGGACGGTTTTCTATAGAGGGAAGACATTTCCAAGGTTTTCTATATGGAAGGCCAATTACTGTTACACTATAGAGAGAAAACCATTCGCAGCTCTTTAAAAGCGAACAAACCTTCTGCACGTCTTCTTAAAAATCTTAAAGGTCTTCTGACTATAGACGACCTTTTATAAGGTTTTCTGTCCATAAAAGTCCACAAAATAATGATTACACATTTCCAAAACGACCTCCATATCTTAACCACAGACACCAAGAGTGACATCTATATAAAATTTTAGGATTTCAGCTCTATTCTTTCACCCAACACCCAATCTAGTACCATTTGGTACTTTTCTTACAAATATAGGACGCATTTTCAAAACCACCTTCATATCTTAACCACACACACACCAAGAGTGACACCTATATCAAATTTTAGGATTTCAGCTCTATTCTTCCACCCAATACCAAATTTAGTGCCATTTACTACTTTTCGTACAAATATAGGACGCATTTCTAAAACCACCTTCATATCTTAACCATAGACACCAAGAGTGACATTTATATAAAATTTTAAAATTTCAGCTCTATTCTTTCACCAAACACCCAAATTTGTTTACCATTTGGTACTTTTTGTGCAATTAAAGGACGCATTTATAAAACCACCTTCATATCTTAACCACAGACACCAAGGATTTCAGCTCTATTCTTTTATCCAATACCCAATTTAGTACCATTTGGTACTTTTCGTACAAATGTAGGACTCATTTTTAAAACCACCTTCATATTTTAACCACAGACACCAACAGTGACATCTATATCAAGATTTAGGATTTCAGCTCTATTCTTCTACCGAATACCCAAATTTAGTACCATTTGGTACTTTTCGTAAAAATATAGGACGCAGTTCACAAAACCACCATCGTATTTTGACCACAGACATCAACAGTGACATCTATATCAAATTTCTTATTATTTTCTAATTGGTGTGGCTATTCCGTTTAAAGTGAGATTTTAACGATATTTTGAAAAAGGACAGTCGTATTCCAGCAATCTGCGATTCCTAGAACCTAAGCAACACCTGTGATATTTACAATAATTTAAATTATTTTTACATTTATTTGTTGTGGAAAAAACCTTCGCTTAACGAAAATTAAATGTAGAAACTTGACGAAAAAATTATTTATTTAATATCCCTGATAAAGTTGGACAATCCCAACGAAACGTCGGATAAAAGATGAAATAGTTTTTATTTTCATTAAATAAAACCCAGACCTAAGAGCCCGATAAGACAAGATCTTAAATCATTCATAAACCAACAATTAAATTAATTAATAAAAGGACTTCAAATTTTCGATCAAAATAATCCTCGTATTGTTATCAGTAATATTTCCAAAGACACTATGTTCCTGAAATGCAGGGATTCCAAGAAAAATCAATCCGAAAATTAAAAAAAAAAAAAAAAATGAAAGTTAAACTTTCAAAACGGCGATACATGTGCCTTCTGTTTTTAGCTATACTTGAGTTTTTCTCTATTTTTTTGGGTTGCACAGTGTTGCTTATTTAAGACCTCTGTTTTCTTTTTTTATTTATATTATTGTTATTCTCCATGGGTTCCTTTTCAAACTCCCCGTTACTGTTTATTTCGGTTTAAACCTTAAAAATGTCATGTCTTTATGTGTCGTTCTTTGGCTGCGCCTCCGCCTTGTCGTCCTCCTCCATCGCCGCCTTCTTCGCCTGCCTTGATTGTGGCATCTGAGTGACATGTAATTACACTTGACTGCAACATAAAGCAGAGTAATGCAGCATTCGCTTTTATGTCGGCCAAGTGTGAATGGGGTGACATATTTAACTCTTCAACCTCAGCACACAGATCGTTTATGAGTTTTTTCTTTTTTTTTTGCGTATTCTTTAATTTGCTGGCGTTACAGAACCAACGAAAAAAAAAGAACGAAACAAAATTTTTTAATATAAAAAAGGAAAATGTAACAAAGAGAAATAACAACAACGATGACAACGACAGAAAAAATTACAATTTTTTTTTCTTTTACTTAAATGCTTAAAAAAGGCACAATTTATTTAATCATTTTTCTTTTTCCTTGTTTTTGTTTTATTAGATAATTACATTTTTTGTTTCATTAATTAATTATTTTTTTAATCGTTTTGTTTCAACTTAAAATACTCGAAATGAAAAATACATCATATCACAAGAATACACGAGTATTAAGGGGGAAAGGGGGGACAAAGGGGAGAGAGAGAGCGAGTGGTTGAGCTTGGGAATGAGCACTTCATTTATTTACAAACACAGAAAAAAAAATTAAAAATAAAATCAAATCTTTGTTGTTTAATTGCTTGTTGCTAATCTTGGTTGGTGTGACCGTGTTGTTTCCGTTTCCGTTTTGGATGCTTTTCATTATTGGTCTGTTTGTTGTTTTTTTTTCTTCTGGTTATTGCCCAATGTTTCAAGTGAAAATTGAAAAGAGCGCTGTCCTCACTTGAAAAGTTTTCTTCTTCTGCACTCTTTTTTTTCGTTTAATTAAAAATGTTGAGGAATTTTGTTGCCATGCTGTTGTTTGGTTTTAATTGTTTTAAATTAAAGCTGTTAATATTGCTTTGAGGAAGGTCAGTCAGCTAGTCAGCCAGTCAGTGTGTGGAATGAAGTTGCGAATTACGGGGGACGATTATATGCTACTGTTTCGAAATTGTTCGTTGCAACCATCCTCCTCCACCTCGCCCACTTCCGAAGCTTCACTTCATTTAGCTGCCAGTAATCAATTCGTTTTCACATGAGCACCAGTCGCATTGTAGTAACCATTCGGTTTTGAGATTTTCTTTACTTTAACGGTACCAGCATCGGCTTCCGCCACCGTTGGAGGTCCCCAGGATACTTGTCGTTTAACGGATGCTTTACGATTGACTCTATCGGTGTTGGGTGGAGTTTTGTTCTACAGAAGGTTGTAGGTTTGCCATCGTTGGTGTTCCATTGTATTCGGGTGTGTGTGTGTGCGTGGGTGGGTGTGTTGAAATGTTGTCAAAGAGAACTCTGATGATTTAATTAATTTGAATTTATAAAATCGTTGTTTCGTTTTTTTTTTTAATTTTTGTTTTAAGAAAAAATATTTTTAGTATTTTTCATTTAATCACTTGCAATGCAACAATTCTCGGCAGGGATGCATCCGCTACATGCTGTACGTTTTAAATATATATGTTATGGGTTTCAATATCATGCAGTTATTCTGAATATGTTACAAAATGTTGTTTGGTTTGTTAAATTGAAAAACATTGACAAACATTTTAATTAAAAAACCGGGGGGTTGATAATTTTGGAAAATAAAAAAGATTTCCATTTTATGGCATAGTTCGAAAGAGACACAGTGATGATGCAGTTTACAGAAGTTGGAGACAAAATCTGGACGAACCCATTGAATAGGTTGCCATTTTCGAAATAAAAATTATTTTGAGTTGCATAATTCAATTTTTTTAATTAATAGGTTACAAATACGTTAACATACAATCTCCTTCTTCTTGCACTTATGTGACATGCGTCCATTTGACTATACAAAAAAAAAAAAAATAGAAAAAAAAAAAAAAAAAAATATATATATATATATATATATTTATATATATATATATATATATATATATATATATATATATATATATATATATATATATATATATATATATATATATATATATATATATATATATATATATATATTTATATATATACAGGATGAGATGAAAAAACTGCAACCAACTTCAGACTGCTGTCATTTCTAAGCCACTCGTCCGACAACTGCTAAAAGTATTCCAGTTACAACTCATTATATTGCTTACAAGCGTACAAAAGCATTTTGTGGAGAATTTTCCAGAAAAAAGTTATTCGTGATGGAATTTAAGCGTGATAGTGTGATTTCTTTATATTTGGCTGCAAAACCACAAGTGGCTATCGTTAGAGCACTCCATAATTTAAATGTGAATAAGTATTTTCTGTCTCGTACCATCGCTCATTACCGTGATATTGGTAGCTTAGCCCGACGTCATGGAAGTAGACGGAAGAAAACAACAACATCAGCAGAAATGGTTCGAAAATTAAAGAAGCGACTTCATCGAAACCCGCGCCACAGTGGCCGAAAAATCGCTCGTGAGCTGAACATATGCAATATTCCATTCGACAAATATTGAAAAAATAGTTCGGGGTAAAGCCATCGAAATTCCAAAAAGTGCAAGAACTAACACCACAACGGAAAGAAAATAGACTCAAAATAGCTAAAAATTTGCTTCGCTTGGTCGAAAGGGGTGAACTGCCGAATTTGGTTTTCTCCAATGAGAAAACATTCGTTGTCCAGCAGTTTGTAAACAAAAATTTTATCATATTATCTTGTTTACTTGCCAAAGATGTCAGCTGAAAATGAGCATCTTTGGTTGGACACCAGAACTCAAGCGCTGGCCATGGTAATGGTGTGGGCCGCCACGACAGCCGATGGTCGCTCTCTGCTAATATTAATCGACCGTGGCATCAGAATAAATGCCAAACATTATCGCGAAAATATTCTGGAGGGTTTATTAAAGCCTTGGGCAAGCAAACATTTTGGCCGCAGATCTTGGACATTCCAACAGGATTCAGCACAATCACCATCGCACTCAGCTCGCGGGACCCAAGAATGGTTACAAAATGGGGTTCCTCGCTTTATTTCCAGCGGACAATGGCCACCAGAATCTCCGGATACCAATCCGTTGGACTCTTGTGTCTGGAGTATTTTGGAAAGCAAGGTTGGCACTAAAAAATACCAATGTGTCGATCAGCTCAAGCAAACGCTTCGACGGGAATGGGCCAAAATATCGCAGAGCAACATTCGGGTAGCGTGTGACGGTTTCATTGGCCGTTTGAAAGCCATAATTCGTACCAAAGGTGACCAATTCGAACAAATCTAACTTATTCTAAAATTTGATGCCATGTCCGAAATTTTTTGTTTTCATTCAAAAAAATTAAAAAAAGTAAAAATTATGGCCTTTGACTTTGTTGTAGTTTTTTATCTCACCCTGTAATGTCGAGTTCTTGGGTTGTTTGCAAGTAAATTAACTCCTCTCTCTCTCTTAGGCACAACCTCATGGAACTTAACTTCCCAATTTTAGGAATTTTGAGGATAGCTAACTTTACAATGTAAAAAGTTCCTTCCGTACGAACCTAACCGTTTTAAATGTTTAATGAAAAATTTAATTGTTCTTTTTTGATAAATGGCCGCTATGTGTATAATATATTTAAATTTATACATATTAAATTCCCCAACCAATAAGTTGTGTTAAATTATCTGTTAAGACAAAAATAATTTCCATTGAATTTCCCAGCGGAATTAAGGCTCCATATGATTTTTTGGATATCTATTTAATTATAATCACCACAAATTTAATAAATAAATTATTTCATTACTAAATTTGTACAAAATATGTCAAATGCAAATCTATGCATGCATGCTTTTTGTTATGATTTGATTGCTGTTGTTGTTTTCAAAAACGCTGCAGCAGCAGCAGCAACTGGCCTGGGAAATTGTTATCAAATTTTATATATTTGACTAATGTCCGGATGTAATAATCATAATAAATGCACAAATTTGTTTTATGGAAATTAGTTGAACAACTATAACAACAACAACACCGACAACACTGAACAACAGTAAACGCACATGTTATCTAATGTAACAATTTATAAATATTTCATTTGAAATTTTTGCATTCGATGAAAATCAATAAACAAATCAATTTTGATTCGATTTACATACGATTCGTTGCGATTCGTTTCGCTTCTGAGGCTGATTATTTATTTAATTCTTTTTCGTTCATTTATTGTTTTCTCTGTGTGTGTGTGGCTCTTTGCTTGGCAAGGTGTGTAACACTTTAATCATTGCAAATCGATTTAGTTGTAATAAAAATATTGAACAAAAAAATCTCTTTGAAAATGTAATAATATCTATGTGCACATACACACACATATGTGTGCGTGTGTGAGTGTTTGCATATTATATGAGATAGCGAAATATATGTTTCTATTTACAATACGTTTTTTTTGTTTGTTTCATTTTACTGTTTTTAATTTTCAATTAAATTATGTTTTTAATTAATTATGTATAAATAATTGGTGGAGGTTATAAAGAGGAGTGTATCAGTTGTGTGAGTGTGTAATTGGCGTTTGTGTGAAAAAATGCGTGTTTGCTTAAATTACATAAATTGAAATATTAAGGTGGAACTAAGAAATCGAGACTCATATTTTTGAAAAATGTCCACAAATAATTCAAATGAGCTGAAAACACGAGAAATGCAAAAAATTGAAATTATAAATTGAATGATAAATGTATTATTCCTTCCAGCTACTGGTGGGGGGTATATATTTTTATACCCTACAACACTATGTGTTGGGGGTATTATAAGTTTGATTGGGCCAGAATTTATGTAACACCTCGAAATATTGGTTTCCCATATAGGAAAGTATATATGGATCTTCCTAGCTCGCCGAGCTGAGTCGATCTAGCTATGTATGTCCGTCCGTCCGTCCGTCCGTCTGTCCGTCCGTCCGTCCGTCCGTCTGTCCGTCTGTCCATGTTAATTTGTAATCACGCCACAGGTCGCAATTATGGCCCGATCCTTATGAAATTTTGCACGAAGTTGGGGATAGGGTCAGAATAGAAGCCTATTTCTTTCTCATTAAACCGCGAATATTTTAAATCCCGGCGAAATCACAAAGCCATGACATCCATCAAATCGGATATATAGCAAAATATGTGCGATATATATGTCTATCAAAGAAGATATGCTTGAAAGATCTCTTATATGTCGAGAACGGCTGAACTGATTTCAACAGTTCTCATTAAGTCAAAATGGCCTCTTGGCAGGAAAGAGAAAACGTCTAAAAAAATTGCATAAAAATATCTCTCTAAAGATGAAAATATTGATTTTGTAAAATTTTCTCATATTTTTTCAATTTTGTCATATTTTTGGCATATTTTCATTTTGAATTAAACATTTGGTAATATTTCTACAGCTAACAAAACTAAGTAGTTAGGATATCAGGATATCATATACAGGTCGCATTTATGGCCCGATCCTAACGAAATTTTGCATGGGGATAAGATGAGGGTCAGAATAGAAGCCTACTCTTTTTGGAGATGATCGCCATATATTTAGGGGTTGAAATGGACCAAAAAACTGCAAAATTGTCAGCAGGTCGTAATTATTGCCCGATCCTCACGCACATTTGAATGGGGGTTACGGGCATTGCAAAAAGCCAAGCAGTTTTGGATGGCCATCCAAAAATATTTAATGTGTGAAATAGTTTGCCAACTTTTGTAGACAAAATACGAAAATATCCATTCCAGTGTCTTTTTGGAGAATTCACAAATACAGGAAAGACGCACTTCTGACTATTTCGTTAAAGCTGATTTCGTTGAAGAATATAGTCAAATGGCTGTATCTCATATAGTTGCGTTTCAGTCAAAAACCAATAATAAATGTTAATCTCTTGCCACTTCTGAGAGATTATAGGTCTTTGGGAAATATTGGTTCCAGATCTAGGAAGACCATTTACGTGCAATATCTACTAATAAATTGGAAATGAGCAAGTTAGTTAAAGTTGTTATTATTCGAAAATTAGAGAACGAAACCTGATGGTTTTTTTTTTTATTATTTGTTACAATATCTTGTGGAATTCTTTCGAGTATGTCGCCTATATAATCTGTATCATTTATTATAGTGTTGTAGGGTATTCAACGGTCGGCCCCGCTCGACTGTAGCCTTTGCTTACTTGTTTTAGTGTAAAATTAAATACTAGACCCATTAAGACTGATTTATTAGTAGAAAGGTTGAAAGATTGATATATTGATTAAATGGTCAAAACAAACACAACAAGTTGTTTTGTTCATTTGACATTTTTTTCACTTTATTTAAATTTTGAAAAAAATTAAGAAATATTAATGGAACGTCACGATTTTTTTCTCAATAATTTGTTTTTCCAAACTCAAAATTTATTGTGTCCAAAAGCTGTAGCATTGAATTTTAACTGATTTTCAAAACATTCCAGAATGTACAAAATTTTAGAAAACCGATTGTCCCTTTATGATATCGAAACAACTATAGATTCTTGCAGGTTCTGGATCAGAGCAATTATTTGGAATGTTGTTTAAAACAATACATACACAAACAAAATCTGTGTATGTATGTTTTGATATTATAAGGCTACCAAGAAAATTTGTATTCAGTTGATTTCAATGTCGTAAGTGGAACTCAAAATGTGCCAGAAGTTGGACTCTCTCATTAAATTTTTTCAAGACATTTGCTCTTTGAACTAAAGAACCAAATATCGCTATTTGGAACGAATTTAGAAATTTTCCAAAAAATAAAATCCGTTAAAAATTCTGTTAAATTATTAAAAAGCGAATATAACCGTTATATTGGAGTCTAAATGAAGACATGCATCTGTATAGGCAACTTTTATCATAAGCCATTACAATATTCAAATTCGAAACTTGAATAAAATCCTGTGAATAATTTCGCTAAAATCATCAAAATACCGAATATAGGGAGGTTCGTTATATAGGGGCTATACGAAGACCTGGACCTGGACATTGACAGATCGTCTATGCAGGTCCAGGTCACAGGTTGTAGTCTCTATATGGAACTTAGAATACGAAATTTCAAACAATTTCGGTGAATATTGTGCATTAAGTCGTCAAAATACCGAACATAGGGAGATACTGATATATGGGGCTATACGATTGTAGTTCCCATTACGAACTCTACGAATTTTGAAACAACTCCGGTGAATAATGTCGCTAAAGTCATAAAAATACCGAAAATTGGGAAGTACCGTTATATGAAGGCTATATGAAGACGTGGGCCTGCAAACGCAATTTTTGTCTCAGGCTGTAGTACTCATTTCTAATTCCAAAAACGAAATTTGAAGCAACTCCGGTGAATAATGTCCATAAAAACGTCAAATATTGAAGATCATTGTTCAAATTATTCCCGTGACAGCTCATTAAATTGTTTACAAGCGTACAAAAGCATTTTGGTGAGAATTTTCCAGAATTTTTTATTTGGCTCGAAAATCACAAGTGGCTATCGTTAGAGCACTCCAGCATTTAAATGTGAATAAATCTTTTGTTTCTCGTACCATCGCTCGTTACCGTGATACTGGTAGCGTAGCCTGACGTCAAGGAAGTTTACGGAAGAAAACCGCAACATCAGCAGAAAAGGTTCGAAAAGTAAAAAAAACGACTTGATCGCAGTGGCCGAAAAATTGCTCGTGAGCTGAACATATCGCAATATTCCATTCGGCAAATATTGTAAAATGAGCTCGGGCTAAAGCCATCGAAATTCCAAAAAGTGCACGAACTTACACCGCAACGGAAAGAAAATAGACTCAAAAGAGCTAAAGAGTTGCTTCGCTTGGCCGAAAGTGGTGAACTGCCGAATTTGGAAAACATTCATTGTCCAGCAGTTTGTAAACAAATAAAATGATCCTGTTTACTTGCAAAAGAGGTCAGCTGAAAATGTGCACCTTGCGCCACGAAAATCTCCGGATACCAATCCGTTGGCAAGGTTGGTACTAAAAAATACCAAGTTGTCTGTCACCACAGACAAGCGCTCGCCAGGAATGGGCCAAAATACCGCAGAGCAAAATTCGGACAGAGTGGTTTCATTGCCGGTTTGAAGGTCATAATTCGTGCCAAAGGTGACCAATTTCAATTATTCTAAAATTTTATGCTATTTCCGTCAGTTTTTGCTTTTACTCAAAAAAAAATTAAAAAAAATGTAAAAATTATGGCGTTTGGCTTAGTTGTAGTTTTTTTTTTCTCACCCTGTTTATGTTTCATCCGATTTGGGGTTTTAAGTCCCTCACATGCGTAATATACCTTCCACATCAATAACCTTTGGTATAAGATATCAAACACAGCTAAGAAATAAATGTTTAAAATTTTGTCAAGATCGGTTCGATTTCGATATAGCACCCAATATATATATATATATATATATATATATATATATATATATATATATATATATATATATATATATATATATATATATATATATATATATATATATATATATATATATATATATATATATATATATATTTATCCGATTTCAGATGTTTTGTGCTAATTGGCCCAAATGGACTGCATTTTGGTACTTCCGACGGAAATAACCTCAGAAGCATGTACTTCAAATTTTGGTGAAAATCGGTTCAGATATGGCTACAGCTCCCATATATATGTTTTATCCGATTTGGTGTTTATGTCCCTCACATGAGTAATATGCACTCCACAACAATAATATTTTAGATACTGCTCGAAAATACCTCTGCCAATTTTTTTTCATATAGAACCCATATATATCTTTATCCGATTTCAGGTTGTTTGTGCACTAAATGGCTAATATTAGCCCAAATGGACTGCATTTTGGTACTTCCGACGGAATTCACCTAAGAAGCACGTACTTCTAATTTTGATGAAAATCGGTTCAGATAAGGCTGTAGCTCCCATATATATATTTCATCCGATTTGGTGCTAAAGTCCCTCACATGCATAATATGCACTCCACAACAATGATATTTCAGATACTGCTCGAAAATACCTCTGCCAATTGTTTTTTTAATATTCAACCGAATTTTACCATTTAGTGAAACTTGGTCCGGTATATCTATTGCTCTGATAAATATTTTTGTATACAACACTTATCGGAATATATATCATTGTTATTTGGTTCAAAGTTGTTATGATCTACTTCACATATATTCCCAATATTATATTTTTGTTACGTGAGCTCTACTAAATACGCACAGTGGTGTAGGGTATTATATTGTCGGCCCCACCCGACTTTTGACCTTTCCTTACTGGTGTTGTTATGAATTTTAATATGAATTCCTGTTGTAAAGGTGTATTTGATATATTTTAGGACCTATTTTATGACAAACAATTTTTAGAGTATTTTAGAAGAAGTTTTTTTTAATATTTCTTCAAAGAAAGACCCCTTTGGTGACTCGATTGAGGGTTAACATTTTCGATCAAAATAATCCTCGTATTGTTATCAGTAATATTGTCGAATTAGCGGATTAGATTTAATCTTAATCCAAATATTTCAAAAAATTTTGAAGAGGGAGAAACTTGCTGCCTCTATTTAGGTTAATTTGGAATGCAAACTCCTTTCATAATCTGCTGGATTTTCCTCGTAATTATAGACAAAAAAATTTAATTTTGTCGTTTTTCCTACAATTATTTCTTGTGTTTCACAATATTTAATTATAAATTATGATTATGAATGTCATAATTTTCAAAAATATTAATCAATGTTAGGGCTATAAATTCAGAACTTAAAAAAAAAAAATTATACGAATATTCCATATAAATGGTCACTCAATTCGTTCCACCTCAATATTTGCATATACAATTTTCAATATTATCCACAAACTATACAATATTAGTAAATATGCTAAAGAGAAAATAAATTTAAATAAATATATAAATTTTAATATTTAAAAATTTAAAACATGCATAGAAACAAAACAAATGATAAAGACTATAACAAAAAAACAACAATTTAAAAAGGACAAGCAAAGGACTTCTAAACATGCATTAAATTATATTAGATTGAAATGTATGCTGTTGTCGTTATAATGATGATCGGAAGAAGTTATTGTTTGTTATTGTTGTAGTGAACTCCACGGTATCGGTGGTTTTGGGGGTCGTATTGCAATTGCAGATCTCATTTGCCGTTATTTTGCATTTGTTTTAAGTATTTGTAGTTGTTGCTGTCATCATGACGGGTGTGTGTGCGGTTAGACTATTCACTCAAAATTAAGGGATGTCTCGCTAATGGTACAGATGGGTGCCAATCTTTTATAGGGAATATCTTCGTTAGACGAACGACAACTTGTTGCAATGCTTACCGTTGACTGGTCTAAAGTCGTCGATGACGACGAAGTCTTTAGACCGTTCTCTGGAAGGGGTTCAGCGGGAGTTGTGGACTGTGATGTTGTCCGGTCGGGAGAAGTTGGACTTTCGTTTGCGGGTTTATTGTTATCCGCATCCTTCGTTGTAGATTTATTATCTAATTTATCCTCGGGTTGTGAGGATGTAGTGGTTGGGGTGGAACTTGTGGTTGTGGGAGTTGTGCTTTTGGGGAGATCTGGAAAGGGGAATATTTTAATATATTTGTTTTGCGAATGGCGGTGGATTATCTAAGCTGTTTGAAAAAGTTATCCTCGTTCGATAAATAATAAAATTTTAATAATAAAATTAATTAAATAAAATTAAAAATAAAAAAATAACAATTATTAAATTTTTCACGTTTGGTTTTTTGTTGTTTTGGATAAATTTTACTTTTATTTGGATAATTATCCAGGTTTTTGGATATATTTTATTTTTTCGGATAATTATCCACGTTTTTGATCATTTATCTACTTTGGATAAATTATACCTCGATCGATAAATTGTCCAAATTCTATAAATTTTCTAAGTGGGATTAATTATCCACATTGCATAAATTATCCCCGATAGATAATTTACTTCCTTTGGATAAATTATCCAAGTTGAACAAATTATCCACATTGGATAAATTATCCATATTGGATAAATTATCCACATTGTATAAATTATCCACATTTTATATCATATCTACGTTGGATTAATTATTTACGTTGGATAAATTATCCACATTAAATAAATTATCCGCGTTGAATGAATTATCCACATTAGATTAATTATTAACGTTGGATAACCTACTTACATTGGATAAATTATCCACTTTAGATAAATTATAGACCACGTTTTATATCATATCTACGTTGGATTAATTATTTACGTTGGATAAATTATCCACATTAGATAAATTATCCACATTGGATAAATTATTAACGTTGGATAACCTACCTACATTGGATAAATTATCCACTTTGGATAAATTATAGACAACATTTTATATCATATCTACGTTGGATTAATTATTTACGTTGGATAATTTATCCACATTAGATAAATTATCCACTTTGGATAAAATATAGACATTGGATGTAATATCCGCATTTGATGAATTATCCGCATTGGTTAAATTATCTACATTGGATAATTTTCCCATATGGATAAATTATTCACATTGGATAAATTATATAAATTATCCACATTGGATAAATTATCCACCTACATTGGTTGGGTTATCCTACCTACATTGGATAAATTATCTACATTGGTTAAATGATCCATTTTGAATAAATTGAACAAGTTGGTGGAATAGTATAGGGCAAATTTTCTGTATTGGATAAATTATCAAATTTAGATAATTTATCCAATGTGGCATAAATTATCCACTGGGCCAATTTATCCATAATCTCCCTTCACTTATCCAAATAGTTCATATAGTCCATTTAATTACCTTCTGCTTTTTCTGTTTCCTTTTGTTTTTCATTATTTCCTACATCTTTGGTTGTGACGGTGGGCTGGTTTGATGCCTGTGGACTTCCACTGGGTCCATCTGCTGTTGCTTTTTTATCCTCCTCATTGTTTTCTTTGGTATTTGTGTTCTCGTTTATTTCAATTTTTGTTTCCTGCTTTTCTTGTTCCTTGTCGGCTTCGGCCTCAGCCTCCGCTTCTTCTTCATCTTCTTCGACGATACGTGTCTCTAGTTGAGGTAAGGCCAGATCACCATTCCTCTTGATACTGCCATTCTTCAAGATACCCACCAGCGGTGCACCATTACCTGGTTTCTTATCATCGACCGGCAGCTGTAATAATAGATAATGTCGAGTCAGAGGAAATGACGTGGCAGAAGATGAAGGCAAAGTAGAAACACAATAAAAACAATGAAAATCAATTAACGAAAATGTATCTCAACAAAGGAAAAGTATTTAAGACAAACATGTCCAGCATGTTCTTGTGTTAAGTGCACACATGTGGGCACAACATGGCCCATAAGCTCACGCACACACACACACATACACATGTATTTACTCGCACACGCACGAACAATACTTACGGCCTTGTAAACATACGGCTGACCACCCACACCGGGACTCTCGTGCATCTTGGTTGCCTGCTCCTTCGACCAGATAATGTCTTCATCCGTTTCACGTTCGATGCGTCTTTTGTAGGCTAAATGACTGCGGTAGACCTCAATGAGACAGCAAATGACAATGATGACAAACAAAGAGGTGAGCGTTATGAAAACCACTTGTGTGGAATCCTCCTTCGTTGAGACATCGTAGACATATTTGGCAACGTACGGTACACGCTGTGGTGGCTCCTCCACCCAATTATCGGCACTCTGTAGAAGGGCAAAATGAAAACGAAAACTGGACTATTGATCTGTGTACTTAAGGGGGGGGGGAGGGTAGAGGCATGAATATGAGAATATGTAAATATTTAAATGGAATTTGTCATGCAGGCTGCCATTTTAAGTTCTGCCCCCACCCAATGGGGGAAAAGTTAAAAGATCTGGAATTCGGCTTGCTAATTTGAATTTGTTAAATGTCAGGGAATTCATAGCAGCTGTGGGTAGTTGTCTTTGTCATACTCGTTGTCATTCTCATACTCACCATACTGACATTGACCATTGGCTCCTGCGATGGCTGTTCACTTATATCGAATTTGGCAACGCATTGTGCACTACGCACTCCCTGTGGGTTGATGACGGTTATATTGTCTGCCCCAGACTTGGTAAATAGCATATACTCCTCCAGTGGTTTCATTATATATTTGTTTACTTGTATGTAAATGTCTGTAGGAAATAATTGAAGATACAATTTCAGTTAATTTGCAAGGGTTTTTACTTTTAATTCAGGGAAAATGATTTAAATGATTGACGGATGATAAAGGAGGGGATGTGAGAATATTTATAGATGGTCTAAAAAGGGGAGAATTGAAGATGAAAGATTTCTACCAATAAAAAAGAAGCTAAACTCTAAGAAACTCATTTAAGGTATTCCTGGAAGAAGATCTATAATCTTTAAAAGAACTTAAGCTTATACATATTTTGATCACGCGAATAAAATATTTGATCTTAAAAGACATAAAGCGAAGTTTAACGAGTTGCCAAACTATTTTACAGATTATGTATGGGAGAGTCAGATTATCATGGTATTATGCTTCCAACTCCATCCCGGAAAAATTAAGTGGCTACATTTGCCGAATTGCTCATTACAAGGCAATATAACCACATTCCTTTGACATTTACAGTAGGTTAAAAATGATGGTTATTCCTTAAGAAAAATTACAAGCCGAATTTTTACATTTCATTTATTCACTACCAAGTAGCCGTTGTAAATATACGTAAAAGTAGGTAGTAGGGTGAATTTCAAGCAGTTGTGGATAGGATTTTTTTACCCTATACCACAATATGGTCAGGCCTTTATGTCTTTCTGTATTTATTTCCAACATAGAGAAGGAAGCGAGATAGACCCATAGCTCACTTTGATGATCTTCATAGAATCACTTTTTGAGTCGATTCATGCATGTCCGTCTGTCCATGCATTTTTGTAATCAAAGTGCAGATCGTGTTTATTACTCGATCGAGACGAAACTTTGCACAAATCATTAGATCGATCCAAGGACGAGCCGTGTTAAAGTTTGAAACAATCGGTCAACATTTAGCTTTAGCTCCCATAAATATCTTCGTCGGATTTGCTTTCTATTGTGCGCCAAATATGGAATTTGTCATACGATCGAATTGAGCCTAAAAACAAGTGTACAAATTTAGTGGAAATTAGTTCAGTTAAAGCTATATTTGGTGCGCAGTCTGGAAGAAAATCGGTTAAGGTATACCTATACGTCCCATATATACAAGGTGAGATAAAAAAAACTGCATAAATGAAAGCAAAAAATGTCGAAAATATCATCCAATTTTAAAACAGATTTGTTCGAATTGGTCACATTTGGCACGAATTATGGCCTTCAAACGGCCAATAAAACCGTCACACGCTGCCCGAATATTGCCCTGCAGTATTTTGGCCTATTTCCGGCGAAGCGCTTGCTTGAGGTGATCGACACTTTGGTATTTTTTTGTGCCAACCTTGCTTTTCAAAATACTTCAGATACAATAGTCCAACGGATTGGTATGCAGAGATTTTGGCGGCCATTGTGTGCTGGAAATAAAGCGAGGAAGCTCATTTCGTAACCATTCTTTGGTGGCGCGTGCTGAGTGAGATGGTTATGGTGCTGAGGCCTGTTGGTATGACCAAGGTCTGCGGCCAAAAAGTTTGCGTGTCCAAGGCTTTAATACACCCTCTAGAATATTTTCGCGATAATATTCGGCATTTATTCTGATGCCACAGTCGATTAATAGGAGCGGAGAGCTACCATCGGCTGTTATGGCGGCCCACATGTTTTCTCATCAGAGAAAACCAAATTCGGCACTTCATCACTTTCGACCAAGCGAATCAACTTTTTAGCTCCTTTGGGTCTATTTTCTTTCTGTTGCGGTGTACATTCTTGCACCTTTTGGAATTTAAATGGCTTTACCCCGAGCTCATTTTTCAATATTTGCCGTATGGAATATTGTGATATATTCAGCTCACGAGCCATTTTTCGGCCACTGCGACGCGAGATTCGATTAAGTCGCTTTTTTACTTTCCGAACCATTTCTGCTGATGTTGCTGTTTTCTTCCGTCCACTTCCTTGACGTCGAGCTACGCTACCAGTATTACGGTAACGAGTGATGGTACGAGACACAAAAGATTTATTCACATTTAAATGCTGGAGTACTCTAACGATAGCCACTTCTGGTTTTCCAGCCAAATATAAAGAAATCACACTATCATGCATGAATTCCATCACGAATAACTTTTTTCTGGAAAATTCTTACCAAAATGCTTTTGTTCGCTTGTAAACAATGTAATGAGCTGTCACTGGAATACTTTTAGCAGTTGTCGGTCGAGTGGCTTAGTAATGACAGCAGTCTGAAGTTGGTTGCAGTTTTTTAATCTCACCCTGTATGTTTCATTCGATTTTGTATTTAAGTCCCTCTCAATAGTAATATGCACTCCACAACAATGATATTTGATACCGGACATCAGATACAGCTCGAAAATACCTCCAAATTTCACCAAATTTTAAATCTTGTTTCTACGATGAATTTAGTCGGAATTGCCAAAATTCAGTTCATTTGTGCTGATTTTACCTATTTGGTGCACAATAAAACCGAAAGCGGATAAAGATATAAACTGGACAGAGATATTTTTGAGCTCCATTAGTTATTTGGTACCAAATATCATTCTTGTGGAGTGCTTATTTCACATGTGAGGGACTTAAAACTCCAAACCTTTAACACTAAATCTGATGAAACATATAAATGGAAGCTATAGCTATATATATCCAAAGGTCAGGGGAGAGTGCGATATCACGAGGAAGTATCTAATAATTTCCATACCCATAATTGTCCAAAATATTGACCTTTTGTGAGGAAGTACCAGAAGGAAGGGACCCATATATACAACTTCATAACATCAGATATAATTTCTAAAGACATTTATGAATTTTCCATTTCATAACTCAATTTTTTGAAACTTTTTTTTACAAATTTTGGCGCCCTTAGTTAAATTAAATTTTTTACGATTACTGAGGTTTGGACTAAACTTAGAATCAGCTACATTTTTATGTGTACCATTTTAAAAATTTTGAAGGTTTTCGGGAGAGTTATCAGAAAGTGTGGACCCTTGTGGACAGGGAATCAGAATGGTCCGATATTGGAATTTTCGTACTTGGCCTAAATAGTTATTTTTATAAGGCAAATGTTTTACCATATCAAACATAGCCATAAGCCAGAGGTTATAAGCACGATATTTTTTTTAAACAAAAAATGTTATGCTACAGATGCTGAGAGCGTATACGTTATATGGTTACAGGTTTATCACTGATACGACACCGGGTGTACTGTACAATCCCAATTTTCTTACCAAAATAATAATTCAAAATAAAAAAATTCCTGTCACAAATGACTTAAACATACAAAAATATTACATTGTTATGCCGCAAATAAGTTATGAATTCAATTATATACTTTTAAGTCAAAACTTCTTTAAACATTTTTCAAAAAAAAAAAAAAAAAAAAACTGAGAAAAAAATCATTTGATGTTTTATACATCCTCGAAAGTACTCTTACACACACCCACCGGCGCAAACACAATGACAACTCGTACACACTCACGCAACTCTTGTGTGTATATGTAAAACTAAAATTTAAACTGAAATGTTATGTCCTTGGTGGATTATTTGGAAAGCAGTCATCTTTCGGGTACTCATGCGGTATTAAAGTCATGTTCATTGTTGCTCTGAAAGTAAACGAAATATTTGTGCACACATTTTTTTCTGTTGGCAGGGTTCGGGGTCGGGGGCGAGCGAGCGAGCGAGCATGGTAACACGATAAACTCCCATTGTTGTTGATATACACAGAAACATACAGAGATTTCTGGATTTTTTCCCAGTGTTGGTGTGCAGTTGGCTTTCAGTTTGTTGGCGTAAGTTTTATGACAGTAAAAAGGATAACACAATAAAGTTCACTAAAAAATTGTTATGACCGACCGAAAAAACCCCAAAACTCTTAACATGCACATGCATGACAGCCACGCATTTGTGGTGCTACCCTAGAGGTAGATTATGATGGTCGTGCGGTAGAAGGAATGCGGAGTGGTAGAGTGCAACAAAAAACAGAATGCAACATCAAACATTAAATCCAAACAAACACCCAACCTCCCGCAACCACACTCGGCTGCCTTCCCTGCACTCAGAGCACCACGAAGTGCTCTACTCTGCAGACCTTAATCGAAACGTTGCTTAATCGAAAATAAATGAATATATTTTAAGCTTAAATTATTTGACCATTGAGCAGGAGGATATTTGTTAATTTTTTTTGTTGTCCACGTCCATTCGCGGCAAATGAATAAAATTGTTGCCATGATGGAGAGTGAAGTACATAAAACATTTTTATAAAGTGTTTGAATCACGCATTTTATGTGTGTGTGTGTGTGTGTGTGTATGTCTGTATGGGTGTCAGGTTTTTTGTTTAATAAAGTTTCCAGCATTTTTTATTTTTTGATACTCAAATAAAAATGTCCAATTTTGTGTTTTCAATTTCGCCTTGCTTTAAGTTTGTTTTTTTTTTCTCGCATTTTGGCCATTGAAACAATTTGTCTTGTTTGGTTGTTTATAGACACGTCCCCACATAAATTGTGGCGTTTTTGTTTCACTCGGGCCCGGTGTCAAAAACTTAGCGTAGCTTAAAGAACAAATGGCTGATCTTGGCAAATTTATTGATGTTCGGCAAGAAGTAATGCCCGTTAACTGCCTTAACTTAGGTGTTGTAAATTTGCATATTGTGTGTGTTTTTTTTGGGGTGTGGAAAACAGAATGTATGAGAGGCTGTTGTTTGTGTGGTTTCGCATATTGCAGATTATCTAGGAAAAATTGACTCGAATATGAACATGCGGATAATGATTTATCTAAGTTGAATAGATAAAATATTATGAAGCTGAAAAGAGTACACAACAAGCCAAAGCTCGAACAACTGAGCCTAAAATTGGCGTCCTCTGACGATGATGGGGTATGCAGGAGGAGTCTCAAAGGCTAGGGTTTTGTAGTGAAGAAATTTAAAACATGTCTTGTACACTTTTAAACCAACCGTTCTTAGATAGGAATGTATTAAAAAATTAAATCAAAATATATTGAAAATTTGAAAACTTCGGGCCATTTTTATTTATTTAAATGTAACTTCTGCTTCTGATGTTTTTTTTTTTTTTTGGTTTCAGAAAAATATCGATAACTAAAAAATTCCGCTATTTTAAATAAATTAAAAAATACAGGATAAGGGGAACAAATTGCAACCAAGTTCAGACTGTTGTCATTTCTAAGCCACTCGTCCGACATTGTTCACAAGCGTACAAAAGCATTTTGGTGAGAATTTTCCATAATTTTTTATTTGGCTCGAAAACCACAAGTGGCTATCGTTAGAGCACTCCAGCATTTAAATGTGAATAAATTATTAAACAATTACCGTGATACTGGTAGCGTAGCCCGAAGTCAAGGAAGTGGACGGAACATCAGCAGAAATGGTTCGAAAAGTAAAGAAGCGACTTGATCGAAACCCGCGTTGCAGTGGCCGAAAAATGGCTCGTGAGCTGAACTATTCGGCAAATATTGAAAAATGAGCTCGGGGTTAAGCAATTAAAATTCCAAAAAGTGCAAGAACTTACATCGCAACAGAAAGAAAATAGACTCAGAAGAGCTAAAGAGTTGATTCGCTTGGCCGAAAGTGGTAAACTGCCGAATTTGGTTTTCTCCGATGAGAAAACATTCGTTGTCCAGCAGTTTGAAAACAAACAAAATGATCGTGTTTATTTGCCAAAGCGGTCAGCTGAAAATGTACACGTTCGGTTGGGCACCAGAGCTCAAGCGCCGGCCATGGTGATGGTGTGGGCCGCCATAACAGCCGATGGTCGCTCTCCGCTCGTATTAATCAACCGTGGCATCAGAATAAATGCCGAATATTATCGCGAAAATATTCTGGAGGGTGTATTAAAGGCTTGGGGACGCAAATATTTTGGCCGCAGAACTAGTACCATCGCACTCAGCACGTGCCACCCAAGAATGGTTACAAAATGCGGTTTCTCGAGTATTTTGGAAAGCAAGGTTGGCACTAAAAATTACCAAAGTGTCGATCACCTCGAGCAAGCGCTTCGCCGGCAATGGGCCATAATGGCGCAGAGCAGCATTCGGGTAGCATGTGACGTTTTCATTGGCCGTTTGATGGCCATAATTCGTGCCAAAAGTGACCAAGTTTTTTATCTCACCCTGTAGAGTATATTATATTATAGTATAGTATAGTATACTATAGTATAGTATAGTATAGTATAGTATAGTATAGTATAGTATAGTATAGTATAGTATAGTATAGCATAGCATAGTAGAGTATAGTATAGTATAGTATAGTATAGTAAAGTATAGTATAGTATAGTATAGTATAGTATAGTATAGCATATTATATAGTATATAATATATATAGTATAGTATATTATATAGTATATTATATTATATTATATTATATTATATTATATTATATTATATTATATTATATTATATATTATATTATATTATATTATATTATATTATATTATATTATATTATATTATATTATATTATATTATATTATATTATATTATATTATATATATTATATTATATTATATTATATTAATATTATATTATATTATATTATATTATATTATATTATATTATATTATATTATATATATTATATTATATTATATTATATTATATTATATTATTATATTATATTATATTATATTATCTTATATTAATATTATATATATTATATATATTATATTATATTATATTATATTATATTATATATATATTATATTATATTATATTATATTATATTATATTATATTATATTATATTATATTATATTATATTATATTATATTATATTATATTATATTATATTATATTATATTATATTATATTATATTATATTATATTATATTATATTATATTATATTATATATATTATATTATATTATATTATATTATATTATATTATATTATATTATATTATATTATATTATATTATATTATATTATATTATATTATATTATATTATATTATATTATATTATATTATATTATATTATATTATATTATATTATATTATATTATATTATATTATATTATATTATATTATATTATATTATATTATATTATATTATATTATATTATATTATATTATATTATATTATATTATATTATATTATATTATATTATATTATATTATATTATAGTAAATGATATTCTTTTGCACGATACAATGTATACAAATTTTAATACTCGCTCCAAAAACAATCTCAACCCAACCTTATCCACCCCTCTATATTGACACACATGCAAAATTTCAAGACTCTAGACTCAACCGTTTCGCCTAGCAGGCCGATCACAACAATTTCGAAAAAATTGAAAATATGGGTATTGTGCTTCCAATGTTTGATATTCCAAACCATCTAAATATAATTTTGATATTGTGTTGTGTCCACATCCTATACGCATTGCCCCTATCACATTTGTATCTCATTCATATTACCACACCATGCAATTATTTCGTTAAGCTACGGAATGTCTCATATGCTACTGTTTGGATTGTGTGTGACTAAACGGTGCATCAAGTGACTAAACCCCTCTTAAATAGGCTAACAATGGCCTAAACTAACACAAACATGAATTACAGCGTTTACACATACATATATTGTTATCTTCACATGTGTGTATTCCCCCAGCAACAATGTGTAAATTGTGTGTATGTGAGTGAATTTCGTTTATGTTGTGTGTATGTGAATATGTGTGTGTGTGTGTGCGCCCGTTTTGTATACTCACTTGACAAACATCCACTGTAACTCTTAAATACGGCAAAACGTGTATCTGTGGTATTAATACCACCGATTTGTACACGATTAGCACCCATATCAGCGGACGGTGTTAATGCCCTCGCACTGATGGGTGCCAATGGCACCGGTTCGCGGTCAATATAGAGCGTCGCCTCGCTTTGATTACGCTGATAGTATATCGAGTGTCGGGCGTTGTTGAGGAAATTCCGATCGATGCGTGCCCCCACAGCCGGACCTTCGCGGTCTTCCTCGAACAGCAAATAACCATCAGCTGTTATGGCTATCATAAGATAGTAGCTGCGGTCAGCCGCCGTCTGCAATAGCAGCATGACACGATTGGCCCGACGCAAGTCCAACGAAGAAAATGCCAACTGCAGACGGACATAGTCGACTTTGCCGTTCAATTCGAATTTCCTTTGCAGCGTCGATTCGCCACTGAAGTCGGCACCCTTCTCCTCCATACAGAATTCACCCAAAAAGCTGGTGTGTTCACAGTCACATTTCGATTCTTGTTTGGCGAAATTTTCACGGCAAATGCCACCGTTTTTACATGGCTCAGCATCGCATTTTATTTGGCAGTTTGGTAGAACGCCATCGGTTGCTGGAAGAAGAGATAAAGAGAATGAAACAATAAAAAAGAAATTGATTTAATAAACAATTTAATTTGGAATTAAGAAGAAAAAATGTTATGGGAAAATTCCTTTTATGTTCTCACGAAATCATTGAATCAACTCTTACAGAAGAATGGGGCGAACAGTCAGTCTGTCTGTTGAAATCTCGATGCAGCCCACATTTGTGACGTAGAGCTTCGAAATTTGGTACAAGAATATGCATAGTTTCTAGGATGTTTGGAATTGAAAATAAAATATAAATTGGTCCACGTATCTCCCAATATTCGGTATTTTGATTATTTTCGCCACATTTTTGCACGGATTGGTCCAAAAATGGTATCTGTAGTTCGTAATGGGTTCCAGCTCCGGTGACGGAATATTGTATGTATAGGTCCACGTATATATAACGGTACCCATCGATACTCGATATTTTTATAATCCTAGTAACATTTTCCCACGAAATTGTTTCAAATTTTCTTGTAGCATAAAATTATCCATACAGGTTCCCGTTTCGGTATAGCACCCATATATCGGCCTCACCCACTTTATGTTTTTTTTGAAAAAAATTAACAGCATTTTCTTAACTGCCCTACTGGTATTTGTAGTTTAATGTGGGACACGATTGAATCCGGAGACTTTTCAATAAAAATGTTTTCTTTACCTAATAATGGAGGGTATTAAAAGTACGGCATTTAATGTTCTTTTATTTGATGGGGAGCAAACGTTACAAAAATAAATATGTTGTTTTGTAATTTGTAGTAGAATTTTTAGGAAATGTTGCTAGAAATGCCAGATCCTCTTTTAGCAGACAAGAAGTTTTTTTTCTTATATGACCAGGTGTTCTTATTGAAGACCAGAGGGTCTTCTCATAGATGACGAGGATATTTTTTTGCTGACCAGTAGGTCTTATCAAATTGATATAGAATGTCTGTTCAAAGAAGAGTAGCTAGTCTAATCATGGAATTTAAGTTGTTCTCCTCAGAAAAGACCAGAAAAGAAGATCAGTTGGCCGTCTCATAGACGGTAGGTAGGTCTCCTCTAGGAAGACCTGAATGTCTGTGAGAAGAAACCCATTCTTCTGTAGATGTCTTATTTATAATTTTTTTCAGAGAAGAAGAAATTTATACGCGAAGGTCTTCGTATAGAAGGCGAGAAGAACTTCTCATAGAAAACTAGAAGGTCTTCGTATAGAAGAGGAGAAGGTCTTCGTATAGAATAGAAGAAGGTCTTCGTATAGAAGAGGAGAAGGTATTCGTAAAGAAGAGGAGAAGGTCTTCGTAAAGAAGAGGAGAAGGTCTCCCTATAGAAGACGAGAAGGTCTTCGTATAGAAGGCGAGAAGAACTTCTCATAGAAAACTAGAAGGTCTTCGTATAGAAGAGGAGAAGGTCTTCGTATAGAATAGAAGAAGGTCTTCGTATAGAAGAGGAGAAGGTATTCGTAAAGAAGAGGAGAAGGTCTTCGTAAAGAAGAGGAGAAGGTCTCCCTATAGAAGACGAGAAGGTCTTCGTATAGAAGACGAGAAGGTCTTCGTATAGAAGACGAGAAGGTCTTCGTATAGAGGAGGAGAAGGTCTTCGTATAGAAGACGAGAAGGTCTCCGTATAAAAGACGAGAAGGTCTTCGTATAGAAGACGAGAAGGTCTTCGTATAGAAGACGAGAAGGTCTTCGTATAGAAGACGAGAAGGTCTCCGTATAGCAGAGGAGAAGGTCTTCGTAAAGAAGAGAAGAAGTTCTTCGTATAGAGGAGGAGAAGGTCTTCATATAGAAGACGAGAAGGTCTTCGTATTGAAGACGAGAAGGTCTCCGTATAACAGAGGAGAAGGTCTCCGTATAACAGAGGAGAAGGTCTTCGTATAGAGGAGGAGAAGGTCTCCGTATAACAGAGGAGAACGTCTTCGTATAGAGGAGGAGAACGTCTTCGTATAGAGGAGGGGAACGTCTTCGTATGGAGGAGGAGAAGGTCTTCGTATAGAGGAGGAGAAGGTCTTCGTATAGAGGACGAGAAGGTCTTCGTATAGAGGAGGAGAAGGTCTTCGTATAGAGGATGAGAAGGTCTTCGTATAGAGGAGGAAAGAGTCTTCTCATAGAAGAGGAAAGAGTCTTCTCATAGAAGAGGAAAGAGTCTTCTCATAGAAGAGGAAAGAGTCTTCTCATAGAAGAGGAAAGAGTCTTCTCATAGAAGAGGAAAGCGTCTTCTCATAGAAGAAGAAAGAGTCTTCTCATAGAAGAAGAAAGAGTCTTCTCATGGCCGATAATGAAGTTTTCCCATGAAAGGCCAGATGGTATTCCCATGGTAGACCTGAAGATCTTCCTTAAAAGCCCCGAAGGTCTTTACTTAGAACACCAGAACGATAAATATTCTTCCCACATAATGCTTGAAGGCCATTTCGCACAAAAACCAAAAGTTCATCTCAGAAAAGCTCAAAAATTCTTCCCACAGAATTCCAAAATTCATCTTATAGAAGGCCCAAAGTTTTTCTCAAATAAAGCCAAAAAGTCTTCCCACAGAAGGCTTAAGGGTCTTTTCAAAGGAGGCCAAAAGTTCTTCTTGCGGAAGTCTAAAAAGTTCTTTTCGAAAGCACTTCACAGAGAAGTTCAGAAGTCTTTGTACAAAAGGTTAAGCCCAAAAGGTATTTTTACAGAAGACAAAGAAGTTTTCTTACAGAATGTTAAATTGCTCTTCCCGCAGAAGGCCAAAAAGTTTTTTCATAGAAGGCCAATAGGTTTTCTCATAAAGGATCAAGTAGTCTTTTCACATAAAGCCAAAAGCTTTTCTCGTAGAAGACCCAAAATTTCTTCTCAGAAAAGACCAAAACGTCTCCTCATAGACAACCAAATCTCTTCTCACATAGGTCTTCTCAAAGAAGTCCAGTTGGTCGTCTCATAGAAGACTATAAAGTCTTTTATTAGAATACCAAAACGAGTCTTGAAGGAATACAGAAGATATGCTAATAGAGAAGACCCGAAAGGCAGAAGATCTGCTAATATAGAAGACCCGGCAGAAAAAAATGAATAGAAACCTATTTATTTTATATTTCAAATTGGTTGCTTTATATCATGGTAAGCATTTCATCAGAGACAATGTATGCGGCGTATACGTAATGCAGTAAATTTAATTTGCATATATCATACGACCCAATGTAATGGAAAGTAGTTGCTTCAAATTCCACTCGCATGCCGGAATTTAATGTTTCGTATATTTCATATTTGAAATACTTTTCATAGATTTTATATTCATATGTCAGGATGATTTAGTGTCTTGAGAGATCATAGGCGTGAAATCAAAAAAGTTATTCGTGATAGAATTCAAGCGCGATAATGTGATTTCTTTATATTTGGCTGGAAAACCACAAATGGCTGTCGTTAGAGTACTCCAGCATTTCAATGTCAATAAATCTTTTGTGTCTCGTACCATCGCTCGTTACCGTGATACTGGTAGCGTAGCCCGACGTCAAGGAAGTGGACGGAAGAAAATAGCAACTTCAGCAGAAATGGTTCGAAGAGTAAAGAAACGACTCGATAGAAACCCGCGTCGCAGTGGCCGAAAAATGGTTCGTGAGCTGAACATATCGCAACATTCCATTCTTCAAATATTGAAAAATGAGCTCGGGGTAAAGCTATTGAAATCGCAAAAAGTGCAAGAACTTACGCCGCAACAGAAAGAAAATAGACTCAAAAGAGTTAAAGAGTTGTTTCGCTTGGCCGAAAGTGGTGAACTGCCGAATTTGGTTTTCTCCGATGAGAAAACACTCCTTTTCCAGCAGTTTGTAAAAAAACAAAATTATCGTGTTTACTTGTCAAAGATGTCAGCTGAAAATGTGCACCTTTGGTTGGCCATCAGAACTCAAGCCTCAAGCCATGGTGATGGTGTGGGTCGCCATAACAGCCGATGGTCGCTCTCCGATCGTATTAATGGCATTAGAATAAATTTCGAATATTACTGCGAAGATATTCTGGAGAGTGTATTAAAGCCCTGGACCCGCAAATACTTTTGGCCGCAGACCTTGGACATTCCAACAGGACTCAGCACCACCGCACTCAGCGCGCCACCCAAGAATGGTGGCCGGATACCAATCCGTTCAACTATTGTGTTTGGAGTATTTTGGAAAGCAAGGTTGGCATTAAAAAATACCAAAGTGTCGATCACCTCAAACAAGCGCTTCGCCGGGAATGGGCCAAAATACCGCAGAGCAACATTCGGGCAGCGTGTGACGCTGGCCGTTTGAAGGCCATAATTCGTGCCAATGGTAGCCAATTCGAACAAATCTAAACTCATTCTAAAACTTGCTGCTATTTCCATCATTTTTTGCTTAAATTCAATAAAATTTAAGAAAGGCTGACAACTTGGTTATATATACCTTTTCTCAGGCAAGTACTTTTTTATACCCTCCACCTTGGAAAGGAGGGTATATTAACTTTGTCATTCCGTTTGTAACATCCCTAAATATTCGTTTTAGACCCCATAAAGTATATATATTCATAATCAGCATAAAATTCTAAGTCGATTTAACGATGTCCGTCTGTCTGTCTGTCTGTCTGTCTGTCTGTTGAAATCACGATATAGCCCACATTATTTGACGTAGAGCTCCAAAATTTAGCAGAGCTATTTGCATTGTGTCTAGGATGGTTGGTATTGAAAATGAGATATATCGGTCCACGTTCTGGTATAGTCCCCATATAACGGTACCTCCCGATATTCGGTATTTTGATGGTTTTTGCCACATTTTTTCACTGATTTGTCTAAAAATTGGTATTTGTGGGTCATAATGGGTTCCAGCTCCGGTGGCGAAAAATTGTAATTATAGGTCCACGTTTTGGTATAGCCCCCATATAACGGTACCTCCCCATAATCGGCATTTTAATGGTTATTGCCACATTTCTTCTAATGTTTCTTTTACCCTAAGGTGGAGGGTATTAAAAGTTTGGCCCGGCCGAACTTAATGTTTTTTTACTTGTTTTAATATGACAAGAGAACGACAATTCTTAACGATATATTTATTTCAGCGTCAATTAGGTAATATCAGATCAGAAGGAAGCATTGAATATGTAAAAATTCTTGAGATAAGTGGGTATTTTAAGCTTAAATAATATTTCATTATTTATACCACATTTCCAATTGACAATTAGCAATGTCAAGCACGAGTCCATTAATTGATTTTCTTACTAGACACTGATCTAGGTGTGGATGTGACTTTAATTTCTTGTATATATATGCCTTCGCAGAAAACTACTTGGTTATAGTTGAAGAGTCCTCTCAGGTTCCCTTTGCCACACATTTAACTTTTTCTCGATGTGCTCCTGACACACGAGTACATATGTATGTCAGTACCAAGTTTTAATGCATTTCATGTAAGATTTGGTTAAATTCTTGGTATTTTTAATTTGGTTATTACTTTAGTTTCATAAACAGTTTTGTGGTTTAAAGCATGCTTTCGTGCAATGATGGCATACAAAATGTATATGAGATATTTCCCATGAGAATTGTAGAGTAAATTTCACAAGTAACCATTTGAAAAAAAAATCAATTTTACAAATACCTCTGAGGGCAGGGACAAATTAGTAAACAGAGGAAAATTTTTTGAGGATGGTTTCACTATAGAATTTTTTCCACAAATATCCCCTGAGAACCAACATTTCCCTATCCTCAAAGCTCACTTTAATATTCAATTTCACCAATTTACAATGATAATAATTTTCTCCTGATTAAGCAATTACCCTTGCCAGAGTATCTCACATATCCTGAAAATCCATTGCTTGCAAATACTTTCAATATTGTTGTCGTTGTTGTCACATATTTATGATTTCCTTTTCAAAGAGAAAATTTCAATTTACCACAAAATTACTTGTGAACTTGAATGGGGAATTCACTGAAGATTCTGTACTTAAAGCAACAACCATAGCAACAACAACAACAACTACAGGTTGTTACACTTTAAGTTGGCAAATCCAAAACACCAAATAACCCATTATCCGATTAACATTAGTTTGTGTTACTCTTCTGATTGCTTTTGTTGACCACAAACTGGTCGTAGACAGCCACAACAACAACCCACATACGCACACACATGCATTCGCACACACATAGCCACACACAGACTTACTTTAGATATATGTATGTATGTACTTATATTTAGAAGGACAGATAATTTGGACATGTGTACACAAGTCGATGGTATATTTGTGGTTGGGGGTTTTGAATTTCCTAACTGGCCACAAGTTATGAGAAATGGCAGTGGCCAGTCATAAAGGAAATTACAAAGAAACTCAATAAATTTATTCATGTCCTCGCACACACACACATATGCACGAATAGACTCAGACAGAGGTATGTTAAAGTTCTCCAAGAAATATGTTAAGGCATAATGGAGTTATAAACTTGAAATGAGCAAAATAATATACTTATGGACAGACGTAATGCAGGAGGAGGAGAAATTTTCCGAAAATTCAATATCAATTAACTTGTGGCAAATGTCAAAATTTTAATTATTGAAAATGTTGTAATATGGAGATACGATTTTAAGACTTCACAACTAATGGAATGGACAGTCATAATACTGTATTAATTAGATTGGCATATTGAGAGAAATAATTAGATATTGTGATGTTTTATGTGTCACACGGAGATGGAAGAGCCGGGTTTTTAACAGGACTCCGGGCTATAGAGAAGGTCTCCAGGACATAAAAGAGCTGTCTCATGTATCTTTGGTACAGAAGAGCTGTTACAGGACTTCGGGTTATAGAGAGGTCTCCTGGACATAAAAGAGCCTCAGAGGAACTGTTACAGATATTCTAGCCTCAGAAGAGCTGTTACAGGTCTTTTAGACTCAGAAGAGCTTTTACAGGTCTTCTAGACACAGAAGAGCTTTTACAGGTCTTCCACACACAGAAGAGCTTTTACAGGTCTTCCAGACACAGAAGAGCTGTTAAATATTTTCTGGACTAAGAAGAGCTATTACAGGTCTTCTAGACTAAGAAGAGTTGTTACAGGTTTTCTAGACTAAGAAAAGTTGTAACAGGTATGTAAGGCTCAGAGGAGCTTTTACAGGTCTACTGGCCATAGAAGAGTTGGCATAGATCGTATAAAAGAGTCTCAGAAGATTTGTCGCAGGTGTTCTAGCCACAGAAGAGCTGTTACAGGCCTTCTAGCCTCAGAAGGTTTATTTCAGGTCTTCTAGTCTCAGAAAAGCTGTTACAGGTATTTTACCATCAGAAAAGCTGTTACAGGTCTTCCAGACTCAGAAGAGCTGTTACAGGCCTTTAGCCTCAAAAAAGCTGTCACCGGTCATCTAGCCTCTGAGGAGCTGCTCCATGTCTTCGGGCAATACAATAACTGTCAAAGTTCTTCTGGCCATAGGCAAGCTGTTACAGACCTTCGGGCCCTACAAGAGCTGTGACAATTCTTCTTACCTGAAGATCTTCTCATAGCAGACCAGAAGATCTTCTCATAGAAGAGTAGAAGATCTTCTCATAGAAGATCTTCTCATATATGATCAGAAGTACTTTCATAGAAGACCAAAAGGTCTTCTCATAGAAAACCAGAAGGTCTTCTCATAGAAGACTAGAAGATCTTCTCATAGAAAATCTTCTCATAGATGATCAGAAGTACTTTTCGTAGATGACCAGAAGGTCTTCTCATATATGACCAGAAGATCTTCTCATGGAGATCAAAGGGTCTTCTCATAGTAAACCAAAAGGTATTCTCATAGTAGACCAGAAGGTCTTCTCATAGAAGACCAGAAGGTCTTCTCATAGAAGACCAGAAGTTCTTCTCGTAGTAGACCAGAAGGTCTTCACATGGTAGACCAGAAGGTTTTCTCATAGAAGACCAGAAGGTCTTCTCATAGAAGACCAGAAGGTCTTCTCATAGAAGACCAGAAGGTCTTCTGGTCATAGAAGACCAGAAGGTCTTCTGGTCATAGAAGACCAGAAGGTCTTCTGGTCATAGAAGACCAGAAGGTCTTCTGGTCATAGAAGACCAGAAGGTCTTCTGGTCATAGAAGACCAGAAGGTCTTCTGGTCATAGAAGAACAGAAGGTCTTCTGGTCATAGAAGACCAGAAGGTCTTCTCGTAGAATACCAGAATACCATTGAAATTTTTTAAAAATTTTCCTATTTTATGAATTCAGTCACTTTTTTTCCACAACTGCTTCGGTTGATCCTCGTTAAAACAAAATTACATATTCCTTGTTGAGTATTTCCAAGCCCATAAATATTCCTTCTTCCTTAACAACACAGCTATAATGAATTCAATTTCCCTCCTTTTAGAATGCCATTTACTTACTTGGAGCAATGTTCCTCTCATTGATATCCGCCAAATCGACCAGATAGGCACCAATTTTCAAACCACGTACACAGCCGATGTAACCCTGCAATGTGGGTGCATCCAAATTGGTGCGCAACAAATTCAACGGATCATAGCCGCCAATGTTCAGCTGGAAATATTCGGTGGGTGGCGCGGGGGGACGGTGTGGTGACAGGACCTCTGTAAGTAAATGCAAAATAAAGTTAGTATGGCGGAGAGAAAAAAAAAACGGAAAATAAACGAAAAATGCAACAACAAAACGACAAAATTAACAAACGCCATTCAATTTATGCCGAATCATTGAAACAATATCCACGTTTGAATGTGAAGTGAAATGAATCGAATCGAAACGAAACGAATCGAATCCTATCGAATGGCATCGCATCGTAACGTAACGTTACGTAACGAGGCAAAGTGAATGAATTGGAATGGAATGTGACAAAAGGAGGCATATTGAAATTATCGCCATATTTAGAGGATGTGAATGTGCGTTCGGCATCCTTTTTAAATGGCGACGACAGGACCACTCTGCCTGCCTGCCTGGCTGCATTCATTCAAGTATAAATTATGACTGGAGGGTATCAATGCTTATTTCCGCCAAACATTATGCTGATGTGGTCAGAACGTGATTGTAATGGTGTTTGCTGATGATGGTGTCCTTCTCGGACTAACAATTTTGTACAATGCTTCTAAGTTTTATACACGTTCCGGATATTGGTTTAGTTTGGTAACATATGCAACCAACGTATTGTGGTTAATAGCATGGGCTGCGAGATTATAGAGAGGGGTGTATAGTTTTTTATACTTGGGGAGATGCAATGAAGCTGGAAAAACTATATGGGGACTCTGATATATTAAAATCGCGGAAAAATCGCACATCAAAAACAAAGAATATATTTTTTCTTGAAAAAATTAATGCACTGGTTCTGATTTTTTTCTTGAATTAAAGATTTTTTCACAAAAAAAAAAAAAAAATTCCAGGGAATTCAGGACTTTTTAGATAGAATCGATACTCAGGCTCTGAACTTTAAAAAGTCTTTCACCCATGCCAAAAGTTTTACAAATCGTCCAGCCATAGAGGAGCTTTTATCTTCATGAACTGTTAAAGTTGTTGTGGCCATAGACGAGCTATTAGAGATTTTCCGATCATAGAGGAACTGTTACAGGTCTTCTGACCATTGAAGAGTTACAGGTTTTCTGGCCGTAGATGAGCTGTGACAGGTCTTCTGGCCACAGCGGAGCTGTTACAGGTCTTCTGCCACAGATGAGCTGTTAGAGGTCTTCTGGCCACAAAGGAATGTTGCAGGTCTTTTGGCCACAGAGAAGCTGTTACAGGTCTTCTGGTCACAGAGAAGCTGTTACAGGTCTTCTGGTCACAGAGAAGCTGTTACAGGTCTTCTGGTCACAGAGGAGCTGTTACAGGTCTTCTTGTTACAGAGAAGCAGTTATAGGTCGTTTGACCAATGACAAACTGTTATAGGTCTTCTGATCATAGACGAGCTGTTACAGGTCCTCTGATCACAGACGAGCTGTTACAGGTCTTCTGGTAATACACAAGCTGCAAAGGTCTTCTGGCTATAGACGAGTTGTTAAAGGTCTTCTGGTCAAAGACGAGCTGTGACAGTTCTTCTGGCCATATACGAGTTGTTAGAGGTCTTCTGGTCAAAGACGAGCTGTGACTGGTCTTCTGGCGTGCTTTTACGGGTTTGCTGGTCATATACGAGCAAGGTCTTCTGACTATCTGTGACAGGTCTTCTGGCCATGAATGAGCTGTTACAGATCTTCCGCTCAAAGAAGAGTTATTACAGAACTTCTGGTCATAGATGAGGTGTTACATGTCTTCTGGCCATATAAGAGCTGTTACAGGGCTCTATACAATCGCTCAATACAATTGGTACCCCATTTGTTACCTCTTAGTACTTTTCGTACGAATTTCTAAAAACACAGCTTCAATCCTAAGGATGACCCTTACCCAAAATTTCAAGATTATAGTTTAAGCTGTTTCGTCTGGACGCAGATGGATAGGGTTTCTCCCAAAGAAACCTAGCTTCTAAAACTGAGGTGGTACATTTTTAACGTATAAAATTATGTATACTCTCTTCAGCCTCTAGAATTGAAAATCTTTTAGGGAAAGATGGTTTCTTTTAATGTGTTTTTTATCGTCCGAAACATGATCCTATAAAACTTAAATAAACAAGAGATATGTCGCCAAATAATTTTCCAAAAATTTAAAACATTTTTTATGCACAAATTTCCATATGACCTACCCTGCCACCCATAGAATTTTTCTTGACCCACATCAATACACCACCTCGCTCGCACTGGCTTTAGCGTCCGATTGCAACAACACAACTAAAGTCATACATTATAATTGTGGTCATTTACCTGTCAATGATTGTTAGCTGTGTAGCCTTAGCTGTAGTATTGGGTGTGGTATACCTAAATGACTATGGTTGTAAATTAATACACATATGTATGTGAACACACACACCCATACCGATACACATGCTAACGAACATATGTCTAAACGGACTTGAACGTATGTAAGGATAATTGCAAGTATGATTTGTTGTTGGCTTAATTAAAATTGCCAGCATTACACATTATATAAGTTGCGGTCGTAAGTTGTGAGGCAATTCGGTTTGATATTGAAAGATGTGTTTTGTAGGAGAAAGAGTGTGTGTGTGTGGAAGAGAGAGAGAGCGAGAACATAATGTGTACATGGTCAAGGAATTTATTGCTCATGTTGTACGAATCAAAGGAGGTATGGTGGCTGTTGTTGCCACAATTAGTAAATTTTCAATAATTCAATTGGAAATTTATCTTCGTTTCCACAGTTTTTTTTACAACATAATGCTGGCAGTTTAGGCTTTTCCTACAAAAAGCAGCCATTATCTCAAAAATAATACTTGATACGTTGATAACATGTGGGAAATTTGTCTAATTGCCAAAATTTGAGAAACCTGCAGAATTTATAGGAATATTGATGGACACATAATCTTTACTTGTTTTTTATTTACCATGAGATTTTAACATTTTTAAGATGGTCCCTTTTGGTGATAATTTAAGTACTTAGAAAGTAAACATTTAAATTGCGTTTTGATTTAAAAGAATTTCAATATCAACATAGATTTTCAATATCAGAGTAGTTTGATTAAATTTTAAAACCAGCATTTAATAGCAGAGCGGCGTAGGAATTAGAAGCATATAAAATTTGAAAAAGGAGCACTTTTGCTATCTACGAACCAATCAACAATGAGGGAAATTTACGCGAAAGGTTGCAATAAATAAGCTGATTTAGATGGACTAGAGAATTTTAAGTTTCTATCGGATATTATTATGTAGACAAAAATACGTAACTCCTTCCTTAATACCAAAGCTAATACTATTTAGAACTTTTTGGACTTTTTAGTATGTATTTCCGAATTCCCTGCCATGTATCAATCATACCGCACAAATTTTGTAACATTTTGTGGAATCCAGCTCATTCTCTTCACCAAATACTAAATTTAGTACTTTTCGTACAAATATAGGAAACATTTTCAAACCACCGTCAAATCTCAAACACAGATACCATCAGTAATCTAAATATTAAATTTCAGTTCTAACTATAATATTCTTGAAATTTTGGGTAAGGGCAGAGGCTGGGTCTTTGGAAATTTGCACGACAAGTACTAAAACGTAAAAAATGTGGTACCATTTTTATTGAGCGACTAGAAAGAGCTAGAATTCTGAAATTTAAAATGAGAAACTCCTTGGACCTTTATGGTCAGAAAACCAGTAACCACTCGATTATGGCCAGAAGACCTGTAACAGCTCTCCTATGGCCAGACGATCTGTAAAAGCTCAACTGTGGCCAGAAGTCCTTTAACAGCTCCTCTATGACCTGTAAAAGCTCTTATGACCGGAAGATCTGTAACAGTTTTGGAAGACCTTTAACAGCTCGTTTATGGCCCGAAGATCTGTAACATTTCATATGTGGCCAGAAGACCTGTAATAGCTCATCTGTGGCCAGTAGACCTGTAACTCTTCTATGGCCAGAAGACCTATCATAGCTCGTCCATGCCCAGAAAACCTGTCACAGCTCGTCTATGGCCCGAAGATCTGTGACACCTCATATGTGGCCAGAAGACCTGTAATAGCTCATCTGTGGCCAGAATACCTGTAACAGCTCATCTATGGCCAGTAGACCTGTAACAGCTCGTCCATGCCCAGAAGACCTGTCAACTCATTTATGGTCAGAAGACCTGAGACAGGTCTTCTACGGCCAAAAGGCCTCTGGCAGCTTGTTTGTGGTAAGAAAACCTGCAACTGATCGTCTATGGCCAGAAGACCTATAGCTCTTCTATGGCCAGAAGACTTGTAACATTTCCTCTTTCACAGTTCTTGAAAACCAATAGGAGCTCCTCTATGACTGGACGATTTGTACATTTTTTGTGTGAATGGAAGACCTCTTCAAGTTCAGATCCTGAGTATCGATTCTATCTAAGAAGTGTTCAATTTCAGAATGAAATGATTTTTTTTTTTGTGAAAAAAATTTGAAAGTATGAGAATGAGCTTTGATTTAAGAAAAAAAAAAACTAGTAAGGAAAACTCAAAAGTCGGACGAGGCAGACTATATGAAACCATACACCACTATGCATATTTTGTAGGGCTCTCGTAAAAGAAAGGTTTATATTGGAAATTTCTGAGCTCTATGAGATATGTGGTACAAAATATGATCATAGTATTCCGAAAGTTGCAGATTTTAACACCAAATTGGATGAAACATATGTATGGAGCTAGAGCTATATCTGAACCGATTTTCATCAAGTTTTAAATGTTAACTTCTAGAATGAATTTGCTCGTAAGTGCAACTTTTCACTCACTCTGGGCTGAAATTAGCCATTTGGCGCACAAGAAAACTAAAATCGGATGAAGATATATATGGAAGCTATATCTAAATTTGGACCGATCTTGATAAAATTTGAATCATGTATTGCTAGGCAGAATCTAATATCTGGTACTAAATGTCATTTTTATAGGGTGTACATTACAAATGTGAGGGACTTAAACACCAAAATCGATTGAAACATATATATGGGAGCTATAGCTATATCAGAACCGATTTCCACCAAATTTAAAGTACTTATTTCTATACTAAATTCGGTCTGAAGTGCCAAAATTCACACCATTTGGACTCATATTAGCCATTTGGTGAACAAGAAACCTAAAATCGGATGAAGATATATATGGGAGCCATATCCAAATCTGAACCGAATTTGATAAAAATTTGATCTATGAATTGCTAGGCTGTATCTGATATCTGTTGCTAAATATTAGTCTTGTGGAGTGCATAAAACAAATGTAAGGGACTTAAACACCAAACTCGGATGAAACATATATGTGGGAGCTATAGCTATATCAGAACCGATTTCCACCAAATCTAAAGCACATGCTTGTAGGCTGAATTCGGTCTGAAGTGCCAAAATTCACACCATTTGGACTGATATTAGCCATTTGGTGCACAAGAAACCTATAATCGGATGAAGATATATATGGGAGCTATATCTAAATTTGGAGCGATTTTCACCAATTTAAATAGGGTTCGTCTTTTAGCCAAACAAATGTTATTTAGAAAATTTCAACTCAATGGAATAATAAATGCGACCTGCATTTTGTTTACAAAAATACATGGACAGGCGGACGGACAGACAGACGGATGGACGCACATGCATAAATCGACTCAAAATGTCATTCTATGCTGATCACCAAAAGGAACTAAGGGTCTATCTCGTTTCCTTCACCTTGTTACAAACAAATGCACAAAGACATAATACCCTTACCACTATCAAAGACCTAAACTGGTAAAGACTAGACAAAATGCATTCTAGGTAGATGATTTGTGTCTATACTACCTAGAATAACAGCTCATGACAGGACCATGTTGATATAAAAACCACATTTATAGAAAAAAAAAAAAAGACAAATAAAAGTTTGAAAAGTCCAAAAATAAGATTTCAAAATTCTATTCCATAGACTTTCTCAATTAATTACATATTTCCTAAGCTGTTTAAATTTCTTAACATTGCTAACTATGTTGTTACGATATCATAACAACAGAGGTATTTTCACAGGGTTGCCATATTTTGACTCTGGCTTGTCCCATCTTTATACTTCTATGTCTTTGCCACTATGTGGTGTAGGGTATTAAAAAAATTCAGAACCTGTGTATAATTTTTTCCAAGAAAAATGATATTCTTTATTTCTGACGTGCGATTTTTCCACGATATTAATAAATCAGTTTCATTCCATCTCCTCGTGTTTAAAAAGTTTTACACCCCTCTCTACAATCTCACAGCCCACGCTATTTACCACTATTTTCATGCCATAATATTCGGGGATATCAAAAGTTCAACGCGGCTAGATTGTATGTGTATGTATTTTATATGTAACATAATAGTTTTCATTAATATTATATACGGAACATTACAATTTATGTGACTCTCTCTCTTATCTCGCCTATACACACACTACTGACTCTCGAATAAAATGTCAAATATGATGCATCAATATGAATGACTGACATTCAATCAATCAAGCAGTCTGTATACCTAGATAGCTAGCTATTCCATAATATTTATAGTTTGTTTACACTTTTTTTTTGAAATCAACCAAATTATTTCAATAAATTTCAAATCAAAATCATTTCACTACAACATTCATCATCATCATTACCGTATCGTTCAAGGTCATTATTATCATGTCAATAATAATTACAAGTATACATACACACACAAATTCTCTCTTATTTTGGTTTTTTTATTTTATTTTTTTTTTGCAAACTTACCCATTTCAGGATTCTTCCACGGTTTATTTGAATACTCATCCAGCAGCTGGGTACTCTTCTCGATAATTACACTCTTGCCATTCACATGCATCTCGGTGTGTTCCGGCTGTCGCACAATTGCCACTTGGATGCTCTTCAGCGTGCTCACGCTATCATCGACTATCGTCAAATTAACAATTTCATCGCCGTAATTATAGAGGAAGACAATCTCCCGTCCGCCCGTGATGTACAAGTGGACGAAATTATTATAATGATCGTTGGCGTAGAGAACCATGGAATTGGTATCGTAAGTGCGTAAATTAATGAGTATGTCCTTGTTTAAGACACCTTTAAGCATTTCCCTTTCCTCATCGACGAAACCGACCTGCACATCGCCCGGCTGGGCTGTGGCACTCAAGTAGTTGCGCATCAGGAACGATTCGCGGTTAATGAATGTAAGTGCCTTTTCATTAATATCTAAGTGGTTGGTGGGTGGGACGGAGGGGTTGAGAGCAAAGAAATGTGTGGGTGAGTGAGTGTGTGTGTGTGTGTGATTGTTGGGAAACGAAAGAACATAAAGTGTTAAGAAATAATTATAAGTAATTGCACAAATCGAAGTGCGGCAAAGTGCAATCATAGTGTGAGTTTGAGATTGTCACCAGCCATGATTACAGTTGTCGCCGCCGCTGCTGAGGCTTCAGCTATCACTTTACTTTACTTACTGGTCTCACAGAACTCTCCAATGTGTGCCCAAGTGTTGTTGCACACACACTTGAATGTGCTCCAGAGCTCTTTGCATTCCGCTCCGTTTTTACAGGGATTTGGCACACAGGATGGCTTGCAATCTTTGATAATTTCCGACAAATGTACCGACATATAACTGTAAATGTCCAGAATCTCGCCATTGACTACGAGGCCACGGAAACAGCCAATTAGTCCAGCCTTAACGGAAAGTTTCTTCAAAAGGTCACTGCAACAAAAAATAGAAAAGAAAAAGGAGAAAAAGAAGAAGAAATGAGAAATTTCAACAAATTGAATGTGTGAGTTGTTTTAACAAATGTTGTAATATCCGCAACCGGGTGTGTGAGTTACAAATCACAACATAAATTAAAGTCCTGTGGGAGTAATTGAGACAAATTTTTTGTAAGGGAAGTTAGTTGGACGTTTTTATCCTCACTATGAGATGATAGGTACATTGTGCAATGTTTTAACCAGTTTTTAGTACATATCAGCTTTAAAAATTATCTAAGCTTATCCGCCTGTTGGCCTGTTTGTTGAAATCAAATGGAGGCTATAACCAGCAACAACTTCCACGTTTATAGGTCTTTTAGAAAATATTTTTAAATAATCCTCGTTTATAGGTCTTTTAGAAAATATTTTTAAATAATCCTCGTTTATAGGTCTTTTAGAAAATATTTTTTAAAAAAATCCACGTTTATAGATATTTTTGTCCTTTAGAAAATATTAAAAAAAAATCCACGTTTATAGGTCTTTCTTTAGAAAATATTAAAAAAAATCCACGTTTATAGGTCTTACTTTAGAAAATATTAAAAAAATCCACGTTTATAGGTCTTTCTCTAGAAAATATTTTTAAAAAATCCACGTTTATAGGTCTCTTAGAAAAGTATTTTTAAAAAAATCCACGTTTATAGTTCTTTTAGAAAAGTATTTTTAAAAAATCCACGTTTATAGGTCTTTTAGAAAGTATTTTTAAAAAATCCACGTTTATAGGTCTTTTAGAAAAGTATTTTAAAAAAATCCACGTTTATAGGTCTTTTAGAAAAGTATTTTAAAAAAATCCACGTTTATAGGTCTTTTAGAAAAGTATTTTTAAAAAATCCACGTTTATAGGTCTTTTAGAAAAGTATTTTTAAAAAATCCACGTTTATAGGTCTTTTAGAAAAGTATTTTTAAAAAATCCACGTTTATAGGTCTCTTAAAAAAGTATTTTAAAAAAATCCACGTTTATAGGTGTTTAGGTCCTTTAGAAAGGTATTTTTAAAAAATTCACGTTTATAGGTGTTTTGGTCCTTTAGAAAAGTATTTTTAAAAAATCCACGTTTATAGGTCTTTTAGAAAATATTTTTAAAAAATCCACGTTTATAGGTCTTTTAGAAAATATTTTTAAAAAATCCACGTTTACAGGTGTTTTGGTCCTTTGGAAAAGTATTTTTAAAAAATCAACGTTTATAGGTCTTTTAGAAAATATTTTTAAAAAATCCACGTTTACAGGTGTTTTGGTCCTTTGGAAAAGTATTTTTAAAAAATCAACGTTTATAGGTCTTTTAGAAAATATTTTTAAAAAATCCACGTTTACAGGTGTTTTGGTCCTTTGGAAAAGTATTTTTAAAAAATCAACGTTTATAGGTGTTTTGGTCCTTTAGAAAAGTATATTTAAAAAATCCACGTTTATAGGTGTTTTGGTCCTTTAGAAAAGTATTTTTAAAAAATCCACGTTTATAGGTGTTTTGGTCCTTTAGAAAAGTATTTTTAAAAAAATCCACGTTTATAGGTCTTTTAGACAATATTTTTAAAAAATCCACGTTTATAGGTGTTTTGGTCCCTTAGAAAAGTATTTAAAAAAAATCCACGTTTATAGGTCTTTTAGAAAAGTATTTAAAAAAAATCCACGTTTATAGGTCTTTTAGAAAAGTATTTTTAAAAAATCCACGTTTATAGGTGTTTTGGTCCTTTAGAAAAGTATTTTTAAAAAATCCACGTTTATAGGTGTTTTGGTCCTTTAGAAAAGTATTTTTAAAAAATCCACGTTTATAGGTGTTTTGGTCCTTTAGAAAATTATTTTTAAAAAATCCACGTTTATAGGTGTTTTGGTCCTTTAGAAAAGTATTTTTAAAAAATCCACGTTTATAGGTGTTTTGGTCCTTTAGAAAAGTATTTTTAAAAAATCTACGTTTCTAGGTCTTTTAAAAATATTTTTAAAAAATCCACATTTATAGGTCTTCTAGAAAATATTTTTAAAAGCTATGTGCTAATTTTTAAAAAATGTTAAAATGTGCGTGAGGGACCAGACTGCATCTAATACGAATAAAAATATTCAAATACGTAAAATTACAAGAAATCGTACATTTCTATTAATTTTCATGGGAAATCATAAATTGAAAATTCATCTCAGGTTTATGGTTGGGAGAATATATTTAATACAACAGATATAGCAAAGTGTAAAGAATCGCCGACTCGTTTCACAATTTATGACAGATAAAAGTATTGTGGGTGAGGCCAGAAGGAGTTCTCAAATACAGGATGAGATGAAAAAAACTGCTGACAGCTGTTAAAATTAATCCAGTGACAGCTCATTATATTGTTTACAACCGTACAAAAGCATTTTGGTGAGAATTTAAAAAAATAGTTTTTCGTGATGGAATTCAAGCGTGAATGTGTGATTTCTTTATATTTGAGTGGAAATGTGATTAAATACTTTGTGTATCGTACCGTGATACTGGCAGTGTATCTCGACGTCAAGGAAATGTACAGAAGAAAACAGCAACATCAGCAGAATTGGTTCTAAAAGTAAAGACTTGACTTGATCGAAACCGGCGTCGCAGTGGCCGAAAAATAGCTCGTGAGCTGAACATATCGCAATATATCATTCGGCATATATTAAATAATGAGCTCGGGGTAAAGCCATTGAAATTCCAAAAAGTGAAAGAACTTACACCGCAACAAAAAGGAAATAGACTCAAAAGAGCTAAAGAGCTGCTTCCCTTGGACGAAAGTGGTAAACTGCCGAATTTTGTTTTCTCCGATAAGAAAACATTCGTTGTCCAGCAGTTTGTAAACAAACAAAATGATCGTGTTTACAAAGATGGTCAGCTAAAATTGTGCACCATCGGTTGGCCACCAGAACTTACGCGCAGGCCATTATGATGGTGTGGGCCGCCATAACAGCCGATGTTCGTTCTCCGCTCGTATTAATCAACCGTGGCATCAGAATAAATGTCGAATATTATCGCGAGATTATTCTGGAGGGTGTAGTAAAGCCTTGGGCACGCAAACATTTTGGCCGCAGATCTTGGACATTCCAACAGGACTCAGCACCATTGCACTCGCACGCGCCACCCAAGAATGGTTACAAAATGAGGTTCCTCGTTTCATTTCCAGCGCAAAATGGCAACCAAAATCTCCGGATACCAATCCGTGTCTGAAGTATTTTGGGAAGCAAGGAAGCAAAAATACCAAAGTGTCGATCACCTCAAGCAAGCGCTTCGCCGGGAATGGGCCAAAATACAGCATAGCAATATTCGGGCAGCGTGTGACGGTTTCATTGGCCGTTTAAAGGCCATAATTCGTGCCAAAGGTGACCAATTCGAACAAATCTAAACTTTTTCTAAAATTTGAAGCTATTTCCGACATTTTTTGCTTTCATTCAATAAAATTTAAAGAAATGTAAAAATTATGGTGTTTGACATTGTTGCTGTTTTTTAACTCACCCTGTATAAGATTCGTAGATATTTAAATTGTTGACCCTATGTAGGAGAGGTTCCACAAGGAGTAGACCGATATATCCCATTTTCATCCTAGACCTTGGGCTAATACAAATATTGTGATGTGTGTAATTTGAAGAGAACCGGATGTTTATTTCGGATTTTATGATCGTTTTGGTTATTTAAAATGTTAACCCTTTGTAGGGGAGGTACCAAAAGGAATGGTCCGATCTCTACCATCTTGTGATCTTGTGTTGATGGAAATATTGAGATGTGCCAAGTCTGAATGGAATCGGATGTTGATTTCTTGTTTTATGAGCTACATGAATATTCAAAACTTTGAACCTTTGTGAAGGAGGTACCAGAAGGAGTGAACCGATATATTCCTTCTTCACACCAGACCTTGGATTAATAAAAATATTATGATGTGTGTAATTTGGAGACAATCGGACACTTACATTACATTTTATAGGAGTTACAATTATTGTAAATTTTGACCGATTGTGGGGGAGGTACTTGATGGAGTGGACCGATATTGTCCATTTTCGCACCTGACCTGATGCAAATATTAGGAGTTACAAAGTTGAAGCAAAATTGGATTATCCTTTCTCCACCTGTGCAGTAAATTATTTTCTTTGTTATGTTGACATTTTGTGAGGGAGGTACCAGAAGGAGTGGACCGATATTGCACATCTCCGAACGCGATCTAAGTTTGACAATAATATTACGATGTACCAAATTTAGATTAAATCGCACATTCCCTTTGAAAGTTATCGTGCGCACCAGCCAGTCAGACAGACGGACGGACGAACTTTGCTAGATCGACTTCAAATGTCCTGAAACGGATTTGGTCCAAAGAGACCTAGGGTGTAAAACCCTCCTATATATACCCTATGTAGCCATATGGCTGTGGGTATATTTATGGCTAAAGCGTAACAAAATTCTAGAAATATGCATACACCTTTTTATGAGGCTATAGAAAAAAGCAGATCGATATATTTCAGGTGTTGCACAAATAATTCTAGATGTAAATCGAAGATCTCAATCAAAATCTATACCTTAAAAAAATTGTGTATGGTTGAAGATTCTTAAAGATACCATGTCCAATACATCAGTCAACTTCTTCTGATTCCGCCCCTAAAATTTCAAAACCGTATCTATGTGCGACAATTTATGTACATATTTAAATTTTTGGAGCTGCTCTACCATTTTACTAATTTGTTATACTTCCATTTTTTATTGGTGCAAATATTAGCACATTCGAATAACGTTCTTCGAAATAACCAAAAAAAGGACGCCAACAATTCCATTTACTTCCATTCCTCCTTCCACTTCTCATCGTTGGGCGAACAAAAATTAAATATTTCCATTTTGTTTCGAATGGTTTCTTGCCAAATTTTATTTACTTTCTTTAAGCGTTATCGTGTGAAATTCAATTCAATCAATTAAATGCCACATTAACTATTCACCGAGAGCAACAAAACAATAACGAGGATAACAGCAGCAGCAGCAGCAACAACAACAACGG